GCGATGCAAGGTCGCTTGCAAGCTAAAAACATGCAGACTCGCTTGTTAGATGGTAGTGTGGGTCACTCAGCTTAGATTGTATTATTTTATTTTGAAGAAACCCGAAAACCCAAAAACTCGCAACCCGCATGCGAGGTCCGGTGTGGGGCGGCCTTTAGCGTGCGTTCGGCATCCGGAAAATATCGTTTGGATATTCTCGGCCGGAAAATTATTGGTGAGTGCCTATCTTCAACATGTCTCGTTATCGCGATACCGAACGTAATCCCCGATAATTATCGCTGATCCCGGATAATTTTCCCTGATCATCCGGATGCCGAACGCACGCATAGAAGTAACATGGCAAAGTTTTGTGCTGTATCGTCAGCTGATAATGTCTCCGATGGCGTCAAATTCCGTAAAAAGGATTTGGCTTTTTTCTGAAGGCGAGACATTAGAGATATCTTGGAAAAAAAAGATGAAAAACAGTTAAAAATTAGTGAATGTGCAATTTTTTTCCACCAAATCCTTTTAACCCTCGCCCATGTAGGGGGGGGGGTTGGTGCAACCCCCCCCTGAGGTTTTTCGGAAATAGTGCAAAAACGGCTGCGCGCAGCGCCGCCAAATTTTGGGTACCTGATGGGGCAAATCTTGCGCATCTTTTGCTGAAAAAAAATTGATCGGGTCATGTCAGGTCACGGAGTTATGACGTCATAAGAGGTACAGCCTCCGGCCGGATTTTCACAAACTGAGTGCCAACGCCCGAGGTTTCCTGCCGGTGGTACGGACATCGAGTGATGGATCGTGATGAAACTTCCCATGCATGTTGGGGCAAGTATTGGCTATCATATGGTATAAGAAATTTGACCGAGTCAGGTCAGGTCACGGAGCTATGACGTCACAAGAGGAACAGCGTCCGGTACTATTTTTGAAAAGCGCCCGAACCACTATTTTGCTAATTCTTGTCACCTCAATGGGAATATGCAGCAATATTAGCTTCTATAGGGAGCAAATGGACCTCCCAAATCCAAAAATACAATCAGATTTCAAAAATTTAAATTTTGATTTTTCGAATTTCTGCCGCCGACTGTGACCTTGCCGACTTCCGGCGCTCCCAACGCGCCATTTTTAGAGCTAGGGAAACGAAATACATACCAAACGATAGAGAATTGATCAAGGAACACGATAGTGAAGGTTTCAAGTCGATATCTCCCACCGTTTTGCCGCAATCGCCGCGGAAAGTTGAAAAAAGTCTATTTTTCCGAAAATTTGACCTTTGACCGGTCAAAAGTAGGTCAAATGTTGACCTAGGACCAAAAAATATACCACCAATCGCGAGATCTCGGCGAGAGCAATCCGTTGGTCGTTTCCGATAAGCTCTACGACGCTCCGTTTTCAAACGCCAAGGGGGGGTCGCACCAACCCCCCCCCCCCTGCATGGGCGAAGGTGGCAGATCGCCGTTTACGGGCGAGGGTTAAGATAATGCCAATTTATTTTTATTCATTATGACGTTATCATTTTAAAAATTTGACATAATCATAAACATAATCAGCTGACGATATTTCACCGGCCTTGATTTCACCTCTATTTTATTAGTCTTGTTACCAAAACGGTGTGACAACGTTCGGGAGGTGAGATCTATAGATGGCCTTGGGTGAGATAACCCACATAAATATATAAAGATAACCGTTCTTGTAAAATACCGCAACCGAAGTTGCTTGGTGACGCCTGCTGTACTGGTGTCCTAACATGCTGACCAATTGATTATTTCAGGCTTGCTAAAACCACAGTTGATTTTTATGTGTACCTTCCTGGTTTTGTTTTGCTAGTATGTTCTTTCAAATGACTCGAAAGTCATTTTATAAATTTGATTTACTTTCTCCATTGCAATGCACATTTTCAAAGCCCCCAGTTAGTTTTAAGGCCAAAATTGGGTAGTTAGTCGTAAAGCAGAGAGGCGCTTTACCCGGACTCCAGAGATGCTTTCTAATCGGACCAAACCTTACCAAACCTGACCTAAACTCACCTACAACCTACAACCAAAAACCTGCAACCTACAACCTAAAATCTAGCACCTAAAATCTAAAACCTACACCCTACAGTCTAACCTATAGCGCATCTCCTTGGTTGCAAAAAGAAGTGTGACGCCTGCTTTACTACTACCCAAAACTGTAACTTTGCCAAGTTGAGCTTTCTTTAATTTGTCGATATTTTATAATGTTGGGGGGGCTGCCTGGCAAGTTGGGGGGGCTGACCAGGAGGTTGGGGGGGGGGCTGAAGCCCCCCCAACTGTATAGGATCCTACGCCCCTGATTTCGTTTACCCTTTTCTAGCCATATATTTTGGCAACCGCTTGGCCGATTCATAAGCGGTCTGGAGCATCAGATAGCACTATCATTTTAAAAACTGAATGGCTGTTTTGATGTATCCGGGTAACCGTCCCGACGCGTGGATCTCTCTCAAATGCCAAATCAGGAGCGTTTAAATGGCTTCGCTCACAAGTCACATATCTTTGCAAGGATTGGAACGATTATTATGAAACTCATGGCTTGTATAACATTCTATTTTACTTACCTCTATGGGTTCCATGTGGCAATAAATTACCATGTGTCACGGTCGGGGTGCTGTTGCACGTGCGCATGTGTGGGACCCGCTTATGTATCTCGAGAACAACAAGGCCGATTGCACTCAGAGATGTTACACAGATGGGGACCGGCTGTCTGGGTGAGTAGCATGTCAGTTGCTGTCTCATTTTGCACATGCGCACGTGTTGAGATGAATTTTGCATATCAAGAACGGTTAGGCCGATGGGACTCAAAGCCCGTATGCCGCTAGGGACAGCTATTTGGGTATCCCCTATCCCGTTGATGTCAGTTAGGGTCTCACTTTGCATATGCGCACGTGCACGCACAGAGCACTACATATACCTACCAGCCTCCAAACACCCACAGGGCTAAATGAACACACATCGAGCACATATAAGTTAAGTGTACCGTGGATACTCAGATTACTCTGCGCTGCGCATGTGCTGACCCTAACTGAAATCAACGGGATACCAAAACAACCTGTCCCTAGCGGCATGTGAACTTTGAGTCCCATCGGCCTAACCGTTCTTTATATGCAAAACTCGTCTCAACACGTGCACATGTGCAAAATGAGACAGCAACTGACTTGCTAAAATCACCCAGACAGCCGGTCCCCATCTGTGTAACATCTCTGAGTGCAATCGGCCTTGTTGTTCTTGAGATACATAAGCGGGTCCCACACATGCGCACGTGCAACAGCACCCCGACCGTGACACATGATAATTTATTGCCACATGGGACCCATATAGGCAAGTAAAATAGAATAGTTATACAAGCCATGAGTTTCATAATAATCGTTCCAATCCTTGCAAAGATATGTGACTTGTGAGCGAAGCCATTTAACCCTCGCCGGCCGAGGGGGGGGGGCGGGTGCCGCCCCCCCCCATAGGGTTTTTTCGCGATAGCTCCGAACACGCTGGCGATAGAGAGCTGAAACTTGGCATACCTGACCTTTTATCCAAGCCGCATCTTTTGACACCAACCGCATTTTTGGGTCAGGTCAGGTCACTGACCTATGACGTCATAAGTGAACCTCTGCACGGTCTTCAGATGTCGCAACTTCGCAACGCCCTCACTGCCAGAGGAGATGTCACAGGGAAATGAAACTTGCAGGATCTAGTATCCATTATGAGTCTCACAACTTGTATATCTCGGATTTTTCCTAAAGGTCATATGAGGTCAGGTCATTTTCGTGACCTCACCATTATAAGTCAATGGGGAAAAATTCAAACTGCTATTCTGGCGCCGGGAGCGATCTCCAACTATCTCAAGCACACATAATCGTGATTTGATGCACTCCTTGCAAGGTTAGATGCGTCACTTTTGCAATGTTGACTTTCCGTGACGTCATTTATGACGTCATCAAGGTCATATTAGTTTTTCGTCAATAACTCCCGATCAAATTGAGCTAGCGAGTCGGGAAAGCCACCAATGGACTCAGGAAGACCTGCCGAATCGAATGATATGCGACATGACCTCTTTCGACCAACTTCGTGACCTGGGGGTGCTGACCTGACATTGACCTGAGGTCAACACCCTAAGTTGACCTGACCCGAACAAAAAGTATATCATTCGACGCGCCTGAGCAAGGCGAACACGATGCTGCCAAAATCGCGGCTCTGCGGCCGTTTTTTGCGAAGTTATTCACCAAAAACTGAACCGTACCCTGGGGCACTTGACCTGACCTCAGAGGTCACCGGTTGACCTAGGACCTTAAAATCGGGTACCAATCTCTGCGTCTCGTAACGGCGCACACGCTCGTTTTTTTCGCGACGCGCTAGCTCCACCAGGGGCGAAACGGCGAGGGGGGGGGGGTCGTACCCGCCCCCCCCCCCCCCCCTCGGCCGGCGCGTATGTAGAAAACCAATAGGTCCGGCGAGGGTTAAACGCTCCTGATTTGGCATTTGAGAGAGATCCACGCGTCGGGACGGTTACCCGGATACATCAAAACAGCCATTCAGTTTTTAAAATGATAGGGCTATCTGATGCTCCAGACCGCTGATGAATCGGCCAAGCGGTTGCCAAAATATATGGCTGGAAAAGGGTAAACGAAATACAGATTTAATTTGAATGTGACCTTTTTTAATTTGAATGTGACCTTTTTTAAATCGAATGCGAGCTTTTTTAATTTGAGTGTGATCTTTTTTAATTTGTATGTGACCTTTTTTAATTTGAGTGTGATCTTTTTTAATTTGATTGTGACCTTTTTTAATTTGAATTTGACCTTTTTTAATTTGAGTGTGACTTATTTTAAGTTGAGTGTAAAAAGGTGTAGTGCAATTAACAATATCTAATCCCCTTACATATTAATTAACACATAAGCCATCCTCCCCCATCTTTACATCACACTTCACAGGCAGCTAGTCTAAGTCGATCTGTCTCCCCCATTTCCCTGCAAGCTGCCACTCAATGGCAATCTCCCCCTATCTCTTCCACAGGTTGCCGGCCTACCCACCGTTTTCACCGCCTTCACGGCTCTCGGTGTAGGCGTGGCCATCAGTGTAGCCATCCTGGCTGCCGAAATAATCTGGTTCCGTCGAAAAAGGGACCGCGCTCGCGCCCGAGAGCTGCTGCTCCGCTGGGGCGGCGGCGCCCTGGTGCACCCTGAGGGCGCCGCGGGCGCCGGGGCCGTCATGGGCGCCCGCAGACATCGTTCTGAGGGCGCCGCAGTGCCGTGGAAACCGGTACAGGCGGTGGCCAGGTTCAAGGGGAAAGAGACGACGGCTAAGACAGGTGAGAAAGTAAGGATTCATTTTTACAATATTTTGAAACCACATATGCTGTTTGTAATGTAACCAAAATACTGTTGGTCATTTTTGGCGTGTTTTAGTATCATGCAGACACCTACACTGCTTCACTATGCCTTCTTTACATAGTATGCAAAATGATGCCGTTTGTCAATCCTACCAAACTTCATTCATTCATTCATTCATGTCTTACATGTCATGTGTTTCACTTATCAGCTCATTGACTCATTCATTCATTCATTCATTCATTCATTCATTCATTCATTCATTCATTCATTCATTCATTCATTCATTCATTCATTCATTCATTCATTCATTCATTCATTCATTCCAGGCCTGTTCCTGCAGCGTGTCCAGAAGCTCCAGGAACAGAGCCAGTGGCCGACAAAGGGGACCCCGATGCCATCCAAGCGTCAAGCGTCTGGTGGAAGGCGGTCTCTCTCTACAGATTATGGGAATATCAGTCCAACGGAGAACAGCAGACTGTTAGAGGGGGATGGGGAGGGGCCCGATACACCTTAGAAGGGTGTATTTCGTCTATCGATACACCGGTTACATCCTAGTTTGGTGTAACGGTCTATGCATACACCTTTTGGGTGTATACCGTCTATAGTTAATACACCGTAGATATACACCTTAGTTGGCTATATACGGTCTTTACATGCATCTTAGGGTTAAACCTAAGCCCGAATACACCTTAGAGTGTATCAGGACGTCGGCCTTATCATAAACGCTGGCAAGTTTCAAAACACTGTCGTTATGCATGTAGACATAACGACAGCATATAGACAAAGTGCTGGATATGCTCGTGATGAGTGATGTGATAATTAGCTGCATTGTGATACCAGGCCTTTATATATCGGTAGCTACGAACGGCATGTTGTTACATTTATTGTGTCAATGTTTTGTGCTGAAAATGTCATCTATTTAGGCCTTTATTTGCCTCGGTAATTGCATATGAGAAATGAGCGTATTAGATCGCTGTCATTATTTTGTCTTGGTCAGATTTTGTCATATATGCTGACAGTATCGGTTGCACTGAAATTTGATTCCCTCACTCAATATACAGTCGTAAGAAGTGACTGTTGGATAGGTAGTCCAGCCTTTTATGTATAGCTAATAGCCATGACTTCAAGAATATACATATGGCACACAGTTGAAACCATTTCTGTTTCAGTCATTGATCAGAAACACCCATTTTAAAACAACTTATTCCAACGTTTCTTGTTGTGCTTGCATGTGCACAAGTGTGTGCATTTTATGCAGATACTGTCCTTGACTACAGATGTTTCGATATATGTACGACTTACGTCTCGCTTTATAATTGTGGCCGTGCTTGAGCTAAAGAAACTGGTCACAGCAAATGTGTGTAAACGCTGGCCTTGTGTGAACTGTGAAAGCTATCTCTAGTGTGTTGTAGCCGTTTCGATTTACCTGTTATCGTGATATATATCTAATAAATTGTCATGTACTCGGATGGTGATTTCAGGAACCCTATATATCGGTATATATATATATATATATATATATATATATATATATATATATATATATATATATATATATATATATATATACATATATATATATATATATATATAAAGAAAATTATAAAGAAAATATATATCTATAAAGAAAATTATATAGAAAAAAACTATAGATATCTATATTTTTCATCAAACGATTAGGAGGTTGGTTAGACCTAGAGAAAACGGAGAGAAAGAGAGGCTAATGGAAAAGGAGTGAGAACACAGAGAGAGAGAGAGAGAGAGAGAGAGAGAGAGAGAGAGAGAGAGAGAGAGAGAGAGAGAGGAGAGAGAGAGAGAGAGAGAGGAGAGAGAGAGAGAGAGAGAGATAGAGAGAGAGAGAGAGATAGAGAGAGAGAGAGAGAGAGAGAGAGAGAGAGAGAGAGAGAGAGAGAGAGAGAGAGAGAGAGAGAGAGAGGTCTTGAATGAAATCGTTAGAGAGGGCAGGTGAAAGGGGACTTACCTAAATAGATCAAAACAATACACGTATCCTACTGTAATGCTGAGGACACACATTGTGCTAGCGTGGGACGTAAATAATTTTAATTAGACAAGTAGATGAAACAATATGGGCACATTTTACATTGGCCAATAATACACTGATGATGAAAGATTAGGTAATCAAACTTTTACTGCCTTGCTTGTAGCCAGATGATATACCGTATCTTTGATATTGTGACTTTGATGTTTCTGCGTCAGGCTATGTAGTTACTAGACGTGTTTTGTGTTATAGTGGTATTATAGTGGTCTTTTCATAGAGATGCAAAGCATGACTAACAAGCTTTGCAAATCAGGATGCTACTAGCACCCTGAGATAAATTTCATGCCTACAAATATGTACTTACTTTGCACATCATAATGTTTACGTACATACTACACAACACGTGTTTAATGTGTATTTCCATGTTAACATTTGATACATACGCATGCGTAGAAGGGCGTAGATAAAGTGACGTACAGGTCTCGCGGGTTTTAGCGGTAGGTTTTACACCTAGAAAATTTAGTTCACTTCAGGCTATATCTTCGTCGTCTTAAGCTTTTAAGTGTTGAAGATGCGATCTACTTGTTGGTTCACAAGCCAGCCATGATCGTGTAAAATGGCTTCATCGTAGATCGATTAGTTTCCGAGATGTACCGGAAATGTAAAAGTGCAAAACCTACCGCTTAATCTCTCGAGAGCCGTAAGTACCTACACGGACATTCCCTATAACCACGCCCGTGTCTCCGAGAGCAGGTATAATGAAGAACAATCGGCTCCTGTGTTCTAATTAGGTCAGTGGTCACTGTCACAAACCGACCCAGAAAACACACGGCGAGAGCGCTGATTATCAAGGTTATCACTCGCAGTCCGACCTGTTCGACCACTTTCTTGTGAGTACAAGTGTGCGTGCTGGGGAAGAAACAGAGCCGGTTTTGAGACACCACGTTGAGAGATGAGGTTGGATGTTTTCCCATACGCCGAGATATCCCTTTAGCATTATCCTAGCCGTGCGGTAAACATTTGCACGTGATCTTTCCTGCACTGTTTTCCGGCACGGGTTGATGACCTACAGTTCTGGTGATTTTTTGATAAAACTCTTAAAAAAGGTGATTTCAATAATTAAATTGTGAGTTTCTGAATAGATATTAAACGACGTATGGGAAATATCTTACTCAAGGCCGTATATAGGATCTTATTGAACTTGCTCTGGGAGGAAAAATGGAAACCTCGGTCATGGATGATATAACACTCATTATTATCTCATCCATGCCTCGGTCTTCAAAAAATCTACGGCACTCGGCTACGCCTCGTGCCTACAGTTTTTTTTAAAGACCTCGGTTTCCATTTTTCTTTCCCAGAGCCGTTCAGTAATATATATTCTCAGGCCATAAATTTCATCTCAAAGTGATCGCATGATGTTTTCTCAGGCCATATATTCGATCTCAAAGTGATCACATCATGTTTTCTTAGGTCATATATTCCATATCAAAGTGATCGTATCATGTTTTCTCAGGCCATATATTCCATCTCAAAGTCATCGCATCATGATGTTTTCAGCTCAGGCCATATATTCCATCCAAAAGTGATCAATAATGGGAATGCTCCCTAAGATACAAAATGTTAGAGCTACCTAAGATGTTTCATTAAATAGACAAACATCTTTATTTCACAGGTCGGATGAAAAGCGACGACGCTTGACCCTGTAACTCGTTAAACATATGCTGTATGGTATTTGATCACCAACTGAATATGCCACTATCCCGAAACAGCTAGTTCGATCAGTACGCAGTTGTCACGCCATGAAAATACCAATGCACTTCTTCAGAAACCAAGAAGTCTCCTCACACTGTACCTACAGATGAAATGATATCATCCGTCAAACATCTGACCACCCAGCACACCGTAACGTGCTAACATAGGCACGTCCCTAGTGAAAAAGTCCTTAAGGATTTCGCCAGAATCCCCACAATCCTTAAGGATCCATAAGGACCCATAAGGATCAGATATGAAATCCTTAAGGACTCTACGGACCCTCTTGAATCCTTAAGGACGCATTCGCCGATCCGTAAGGATTTTAGGGCGATGTTTGGTATCCTTAAGGATCGCTCAGTATTCCGTAAGGAAATTGCTACTTGCTAGTGTCGCTTAATCCTTCAGGATAGCCGATGCAGCCAGTACGTCAATCATTATGGAGTGATTGAATCATCCCTACTATTATTCCGTGCTCCGTATGCGATAATTTCTTAGCCATATGACATATACGGCATGTAAAAACTTTGTGACGGACCAAAGCAGCGTTCGCTATCATCATAGGCGCGGGAACCGGGAGGCGAGGGGGGCAGTGGGAGCAGCTTGCCCCCACTTTTGTGCTGAACTTCGAAATTAAATATTTTCGATTTATGGTATTTATCGATATTGCGAGTGCCAAAACCGGTGATTGTGAGCCAGGGATAACAATTTGGCTATCTTAACTCAGAAGTAATATTCAGCTGGGATGGTCACCTAAATGTCCACGCTGGGTTCACCCAGACTCCAAATCGGATAGACGAATAGTTCTGATAAAAAGTACCTATTGGTATCTCAACCAAGTGCCACAGTATGCATGTATCGTATGGCCTTAGTGCCACCGGTGCCACAGTGTTTGCGCTGTGCTCTTTCAGAGACCGTACCGACTGGAATTTAGCGACCGCTGACCGTTTTAAAGACTGTACGGGCGGCAGCGGGCGGTCTGATCCTCGCCTCCGGCAAGAGGGGAGACCGCGCGTCCCCCTGTCGCATTGTGCCGCTACCGCTCGCGGGATGCGGACGAGTCTGTTGAGTGTGTTGTGCCCTCTGCCGTCTCCTCTTCGGGCCATGTAAGTCTCTGCCATGCTGTGTATCAATGAGATAATTGATCCTAGTTATTGCATTGATAGATACAAAAACCGGCGCTGAAACGTTCACTTCAATTAATGGCGATCGTCGTCGTCATTCATTTGGCTGCGGAAAATGAAAGTACTACCGGTAGCGTCTTTTAGCGTCATGCCTTGGAACGAGGCCCATGTAAATATGTATAATAGAATGGATTCAGGGTAGTAGGACGTAGGTGCATATGTGATGCATTGCTAAATGAACATACACAGGCATCTAAGCTGGAAATGACTGAACTGAATTTACTCAAAGGCTCACCAATATTCTTTGGCTGGGACTGCAGTCTAAGCCTAAGAGTAGAATTCGTGAGCCTCTGAGTAGGTATTGTTGATCAGTATATTACTGTTATTACATAGGAATATCCGCCTTGTTACAGGAACGCAGGATGCAAGACTGGACAGGCGACGGGCGACTCAACCGCTCAAGATGTGTAGAATGTGGATGGCGGAGGAGCGGCGGCCGAGGACGTGTGACGTGATAATATCTGAAGCGTGGCTGACTCGAAAAAGTGTAGACTTATCTTCATGTAAATATGTTTTTTCGGAAATCCTCGGCTTATATTTCTCGGAGCCTCAGCTGCAACCTGCGAATGCCTAGAGCTCCATATATGTATACCCGGTCGCCTGTGGTTGGCGGCTGCTCCATTCCTGGCAATGAAAAATGGCTAAATGTGCTTGTTTTAAGTAAAAAATATAGCACCAGAGACCGTACAAATGTGTTTGCTAGGGTTTGATCCTTACGGATTTATATATCGTTCATTAAGGAAGAGCCTCAAAATCCTTGAGGATTGTCGCCAAGATCCTTAAAGATTTTGCTACAAATCTTTAAGGAAAAACCACAAAGTCCTTAAAGATTATTACCAATGTCCTTAAAGACATTGCTAGAGATCCTTAAGGATTTAGCTAAAAATCCTTACGGATTTTCCGCAGAATCCTTAAGGAATTTCTAACAAAATCCTTAAGGATTGTGTATCAATTTCGTACAAGGATTTTGTTAAGGATCGTCCTTAAGAAATACATAGGACAGTCCTTAAGGATTTTTTCACTAGGGGTGCCACGTACGTGAATGAAGTAGTGGACACACACAAACCACGAACAATGAACTTTAAACAGTGCATGAGCTCAGAGGTGTGAAGAGGAATGTAAATGCCGTGATCAAGCACATTCGCTATGCAGTGTACCGCGAAATGCGGAATGGCTTCCGTCATCGTTCAGCCCACCAGTCTGCTGTCGCCTCGCTCCCTCTCTCTCTCTCTCTCTCTCTCTCTCTCTCTCTCTCTCTCTCTCTCTCTCTCTCTCTCTCTCTCTCTCTCTCTCTCTCTCTCTCTCTCTCCTCTCTCTCTCTCTCTCTCTCTCTCTCTCTCTCTCTCTCTCTCTCTCTCTCTCTCTCTCTCTCCCAGGCGAGGCTATTCAACTATCACCTCGCCTCCACGGCTCAGGTGATGTCATGCACCGAATTTACCATGCTCAACGGTCCATGTAGATATGCGCCTATATCGTGATTAGTGAGAGTAACATCAACATCAGAGCT